GAGTGGGTAAAAGGGTGAAGTGTTTGAGAAATGGCAGCGTACAACACGTTTACTGCATTATCACTATGATATGTTAAATTGAAACAGCTTTAATGACAATATAAGGCCTACTTGAACCAAGGGAGTAGTACGTTTATAGTCATGTAGCATCTGATTATCCAGGCGTCCTTGAACATGCCCACAGTGGAGGGAATGCACAACACGTTGACAAAGAGTTTCACTCCCGAGCGACTCTGTGATAGAAAAAGCAAGATCGTTGATTTGTGCAGCACAGTTACTTCTTCAAATGACTGATGGGCATTTAAAAGTGTGCTACCATTGATTTGGTTTAACATTTTTATCAAGTTGGAACGCATGAAGGAGGAGTGGGAGTCTCAGAGGCTTTCATTCGACGGCCTGCTTGCAAAGTCCGAGAAGGAATCAGAGGGAAGAATGGTCGCCTTACGAGCCGAACTTACCACTTCGATGCAAAAGAATACCGAAGAGGGCATTTCCAAGCTGATGGCACAACTTGGCTCCATATCAGAAAAGGTAGCCGCCATGGAACAGCTGAATCACAATTTGCAGGCAGCTATAGGTGGATTAAAAGACGGTAAGGAAAGCTTCCGCTAAGATCACTGATTATCTAATTGGTGATTTTGTCGCACCGACCAGTATGTAATCTTCTTTGCTTATCTGGTTTTACTTCTTGTAGAAGCAAAATTGGGTGTGAATTCGGACTCTGGTGTGATTGCGAATCTGAAACTGTCCACCACAGAGCAGATTCAGGCGGCTGAAGACAGACTAAAGGCGGCCTTTTCGCAACAGTTGACTTTAAACCTACGTGAGGTATGTGCGGTACTTCAATAGCCGAGTGTTTTGCTCACTTGATTTTTTCCCGTAGTTATTCTCAACTTCTCTTCACCACTATTCACATATTGTTTTTTTTATCTTTTTGTAATAAGTATTTCTTTAATTTTGGCCTCTCATTCTTTCTTCTAGAAAATCCTTGCCGAATTGAATTCTCTAGATAACGAAGAACTTAATGCCCGACTGGCATCAATCATCAAGTCGACCGTGACTGAAACTCTCAAGAAGTCCTTGAAAGGTATATCGCGGGTATTTTTTTTGCGGGAAAGCGGCTGCCTGTCAGGCCTGTTTATTTTGTCGAAAAGGCTTCTTCACTATCCTTTCTTTTTCGCGATGCGTTTTTCATCTTTGCATGCTGGCTCCGCATGCCTTCTACGCACATATAACAATGCGTTTTTGAGCCTCACAAAGCCTTTATACGATATGAAAGACAGATCATTGCGCTGACTGCGGGCCTGAGAACCACGACTCGAGCAGCTCGTGGCTCATACAGTTGTCACCTCCGTCAAGGATTTCGGCCTCGTGAAAAGTTTAAATATGACCGGGTCCCGTCGAGTGAGCTGCAACCTGCATGCTCATCTTTCGTGTCTCTAGTAGTCTTCCAGTTTCTCTGAAGTACTAGCTTTGTCTGAAACTGCACCAAATCCGGTGAAGGATCCCAGAGGTTTCCTGTCATGCTATTTGCCTCTCATGACTTGGCGCCTAGTGGTTGTCCTAGGTTTCGTACTCTCCCGAGGACCCCTTGACACTTTCTGTCTCTGCTAGTGCAAAGTTGCTGAACACGTGTCATACGTTATGTTATTTGCCGGACAGAGACAAACTCATTTTGCTATTCAGTCTCTTACCTTCCATCTAGAGCTCTCACCGGAGGTTGGCGGAGCATCGTTAAGCAGCATTGGTTCAGCAATCACTGCCGCTCTGACTACCTACGCGGCCGATCGGACGGGGCTTGTTGACTTCGCACTCGCTTCCGCGGGCGGCACTGTCGTCAACACTCGGTGCACCCGCAGCTACAATAAGGGCGCATCCGCCTTCTCCTTCCTCGGCATCCCCCTCTTCTATTTCCGCAACTCTCCCAAGTATGGCGTCCTCCCTACATGTTATTTTTTTCGCTTTCGGTATTATCATTATTGTTTGCAATCGTAGCGGCGTCGTTGATCATGTAGGTGAAATGACTACCTGTAGTAGTTAATTGTACATCAATTTGTTTTTCAGGACGTACCCATCCTGGTTGATGGTTTGCGAGCTCGGATGCATCCGAGTGTGTTTGCAAGGCGACTAATTGTAATGTTAGTAATTAAGTTTCAGTAACATATTTTTTATGTTATGCGTAGCTGACGGCGGCTAGTGAGCCAGAAATGGTCATTCTAGAGTCCCATGTCTTGTCGGAATACATAACATGAATACCTGTTTCCGTCTGCGAATTTATCCGATTTCCCGCTTCCTACTCCTCCCCACCCTACGGTTGACATCTGAAACTCTTGAACCTGCCACCACCACCATCATCATCATCATCATCAGACTTTACCATTGCATATTTACGCGTCGCTGTTGCGCCCTCGTCACTTCGCAGCCTATGTTTCTCAGCCTCTCCCTCTAAATGTGCCTTCAAAATTTGACGCAGACATTGTTAGAAATGAAGTGGAACTGACAAAGACAAGGAGGACCAACGTGGTCATTTCTGGCTTATTTGTTGTCATCACCCGGTCATGCACAATCCTAGGGGGTGGCGACCCCCGAGATTCGAACCCGCGGCCTTCGGTCTCTGAGTGCAATACTCTATCGCTGCACCACGGCTCGTTGCTTTGGTCGGTTGCGATTGAGAGTACAATGAGTGGTGGTGGGCTCACCGATCTGTTTACGAGACATGCTCATTCCGTTGTACCCTGGAGTTCACTATAGAGCCTTCGCACCCAGTCGCATAGAGACTTTTAGAATATGAACTCCGGAGAACAACGGATCGGTGAGCCGCCTGTCGTTCATCATATTCTCGATCGCAACCGACAAAAACAACGAGCCAGTGTCGCACTCACCAAAGGCCACGGATTCGAATCTCGGTAGTCGCTCCCCCCCCCTGATGACGG